ATACAGTGTGTCAAAAAACTTTTGGTATCAAGAAAGAAGAATAGAAGGAATAGGAAGATTTGGGTTCGAGATTGGCTAAGTAGAAGAGAAAACCTTGGAGCAAGTACTCGATTGCTAGCAGAAATGAGAGAAGAAGACATTGATGGCTACAAAAATCATTTGCGGATGCTGCCGCATCAGTTTGATGAATTGCTCTCTAAAACTGGAAGCGCTATACAGAAACAAGATACACACATGCGAAATGCTATTCCAGCAAAAGTGAAATTGGAAATTACATTGAGATATCTAGCAACTGGAGACTCGTTATATACATTAGAAGCACTACACAGAGTTGCAAGATCCACTATAGCTAAATTTCTACCTGAAGTGTGTAATGCAATATACAGTGCTCTGAAGGATTATATGCAGGTAAGTAAATTAATCACTGGAGTATAATATGCAAGTATTTATTACATGAAAATATCGAGTAGGTATCTAACACAATTTTTCTATGCTATGGTTCAACACTGTTCCCATGCTTTGGTCAACAAATCAGTATAAGTCATTGCCTGTGTATTTGTAGTAGAAGGTGTGTCAGTCATGATTTGTGTATTTGTAGTGGGAGGTGTGTTAGTCATTGTTTGTATATTTGTGATAGGAGGAGTGTCAGTCATTGTTTGTGTATTTATCGTAGGAGGTGTGTAAGTTATTGTTGGTGTATGTGTATTAGGCAGTGTGTGTGTCTTTGTTTGTTGATTTGTCGTAGAATGTGTGTAAGTCATTGTTGGTAATATATTTGTGGTAGGAGGTGTGTAAATCATTTTTTGTGTAAAGGGAGACATGTTTGGGTATAGGTGTTGACGTCTTGCTGCAATCAGAAGTGTTTGGATCTCAGTTTGTAAATCTAATGCCGCGTACAATGGCAGGGCTCGCAATTGAGCTGCAACATTTTGAGCAAAATAATGGAATTCGTCGTATTCCGTCGGTCTATTTATAACAGAAGTTAGATTTTCCAAGCGATCGAGCGCACATGTAATTGATCCTTCTTCCAAGACTCCTTTTTTACGCCGTTTTGATGGGTTACTAGAGGAACGCGATTGTGGTCGGTCTTCCGTAGTTAGACTAGGCGAGGGTGATGACACGTTCAGTGACACGGACTGTGGCGTCATCGGGTTGGAATTGGAAACAGGATCACTTGATTGTGAATCTTGCGATGAATCTTCTACATTCTGAAAGAAAATATATTTTCAGAGAATTTTATCAAACATACTCAGTAGCTTTTTTTACAGATTCCGGGTCCAGAAGACTGGAAACGCATTGAACATGGATTTAGAACAAAATTGAACTTTCCAGGGTGTGTTGGTGCGTTGGATGGCAAACATATAAATATACTGGCTCCTGATGATACTTCTGACTACTATAATTACAAGGGCGCCCATAGCATTATACTTCTGGCATTAGCTGATGACGACTACTGTTTTTCATACGTAAATGTTGGAACTAATGGAAGAGCTTCTGATGGAGGTGTTTATCAACAATCGAAGTTAGCACAAGCCTTGCAAAATAATACTCTCAATTTACCAGAGCAATCAGTTGTTGTGGCAGACGCTGCATTTCCTCTAAAGACGTATCTTATGAAGCCCTATCGAACAACTCCAACACGTAAAGGAAAAATATTCAACTACCGTTTATCGAGAGCCAGACGAATCGTTGAAAACGCGTTTGGTATTTTAGTAACAAGATTTCGAGTTCTTCTGAATGCAATAGATATGGCCCCCAAAAAGGTTGACTATGTTGTATTAGCTGCATGTGCTTTACACAATTGGCTTCGAAAAACATCTGATATGTATATCACGCAAAGATGCGTCGACTTTGAAGATATACAACAACGTGTTCTGATACCAGGAGCATGGAGGACACAACTGCGGCAAGCTTTGGAAGGCTTAACACGTACACGCTACAGTAACCACGCTTCTCAGCAGGCAGAAGCAATAAGAGACACTTATGCGCAGCTTTTTGTAACTACCGAGACGGTTCCGTGGCAAGACCATATGATATAAATTAAAAGTTGAAAATTAACATACCTATAATAATAAATAAGAAGACAATGAATGTTGTATGCTAATATATTGATTATTTGTTGTGTTAAGACTTGAGTGTATTTTCATTTAAAGTAAAGAGAAACTCACCAACTCAATAGATGTCCTGTAGTCACCAGTGTCTCCCAGAAAAGAATGCATTTCATGGAACCATGACGTGGACGGGTTGTATACCTCAGCGGTGCCAGAGCCTGATCGCTTGGAATGTTCAATTTTTTTTAGTTCATTGTGGTAAACCGACCTCAGGTTCTTGATTTTTGTTTTTAAACTTTTCAAACTTAACGTAGGGTCATTCATCTTCATTATCATATCTTCATACGCATTGTTTCTCAAAATATTGTTTTTATACTGCGAAGACTTTGGGTTCCACAGGCATTCATGATTTCGGTATAGAATAACAAACTGTAACGTCTTATCGTCACCCCAGCGCGCCATTTTTGCAACACACAAGCGCACCTGCTGCTAACAATTGCTGCGAACAACTGCTGCTCAATAATAGCATGCTTAATAAGCAGACCTGATCACACGCGCTAAAACCACACCCCCTTCCACCCGCGCTGCAGGTAGCATGCTCAAAAATCGCAAGGCGGTCGATTTTTAAGCATGCTCAGAAAAAGCATGCTTATTTCTAGCAACGTATGTACACACATGCTACTAAGTAGCAATTGCTCAATAATAGCATGCTTTTGTGCTAGTTTTGAGCATGTGTAACAGTACCATTACGCTCAAACTATTCGAATTTATAGTAGAGCTGCGTCATTTGTTTCAGACCGATCAATATCTTCTTTCATAGTCTCTCTAAATTAATTCGAATAGATTACGAGCCAAGCCTATACGTTTACTGCCAAAATTGTTTATTTTTAGTGCATACTTTTGGCTAGTTTGTCTACATTTTCTCCTCTGGTAAGGACATTCAAGCTGCCATTCGTACTAGGCATATGTACGTTGATCAAGGCAACAATAATATCTGTGTTGCTAAGCGAATTATTGTTGATAGACAGGGATACATTGAATAAGGTGAAGAAACGAAAGTAAATATTGATTAACGGTACAGCACCTCGGATAATTCTGCTTAATTGTTGATTTTAGAAGAAACATTCTCACTATCACGTAAAAAAATAGTGAAATACCTGATATTAGGAATAGTAGGAGACTTTGAACGCTATCTACTCAGTTTTTCTGAATAGTTGTAATTAAGTTCGTCGCTGAAAGCACATGCTTAGTTGAGTGTAATATGGAAATTTCTGCTATTATATCATTGCTACTATATCTATTAAATAAAAAGATTTGGAAGTATTTTAATTCATTTGACATACACCGTTTTTTTGCGTACTGAGCTCCTTCCATAAAATCTGGTGGCACTAAAGTGAGGTCGCAAAATTACATAGGAAAAAAAATTAATCAACCATTAAAATCTAATTAAATATGTGACAGCTAATAAGTTAAATTATTTTAGCTGGACTTCGATTTCTAAAACAGTTTACTTGACTCTATAAAACTAGTATAAACAAAAACGTAATCGTTCAATTAAATTTTATAACTATTCATTTAGATTGAGTACACAGAATTATTTAAAATTAATTACAGGTAACTATTAAAATGAGAGTAGTACCTGGTCCAGGTGAAACAATTTGATGCTACGAGTATTTATTAAATTTGGTTAATTAGTATAGGTAAAAGTAATTACCTACCTCAATGAATCATTTTATTTAGATTTTAGAGAATATTTTAGATGATAATTGAATGATGCATATATTGTAACTACTGTGACAAATCTTGTCCTCGAATGAAAACAAAAACTGGGTTAAAGTGGTTGCGAGTAAGTGTTAATTATTAGTAGGTGTTCAACACATTTACATACCTATATAAATAAATTCGACGTCACTTCACACACTAGGATATTTTCAAATACTACAAAGTCTGCACCAATAGGAGGCTCCACATCCTATACATACAATATAAAAGAATAAAAAATCAAGCCTTTTTACGCATATGCTTGGTTTTAATGCACTTTATTGGCCTAAATACGGTTTCATAAGTTCTTTTCACTCCATCACGTCAGCAGCGATTTCCCTGTACAAATAGTATTTCATTCGGAGCAAGAAATATTCTAACCATGGTTAGAGTCACTAAATGGGCGTTGACATTATGCTTGTTGGCTGGTACTATCAAACTAGCGCTAGTTCGCTGGTACTGCTTGTCCTGTTTTTATACTAGTATGTGCTATATTGTGCAGTTGTGCTAGTAAAATAATTACATTTTAGTTTGATGGTTTGGAATGGCTGTCAGTTCGTGAAAATGAGTGAAGTATTGGCAAAAGGCATTGAAATAGTGGCTAGAATGTTACAAGGGGAATTAAGAAGTATAGCACATAAAAGAAGTCGTCGACAAAGAAGGTGGTGGACGCGGGAATGGATTGTACAACGAAAACGTTGTGGTGTCAGTGAAAACCTATTGAAGGAAGTAAAATTTTCTGATCCCCAAACATTGACGAATCATTTACGGCTGACTCCAGATCAATTTTCATTTTTATGACAATGCGTTACTCCGATTATACGAAAACAAGATACTTCGTTCAGGGAAGCGTTGACTCCGGAACTGAAACTTCAAATTACTCTACGCTACGTAGCATCTGGAGACTCTTTTAGCGCACTAGAACATATGTACAGGGTTCCAAAAAGTACAATTTCAAAATTTCTAGTAGACATTCTTAACGCAATATATGCTGTGCTACAAGATTACATAAAGATTGCGGAATCTGAAGAAAAATGGAAAGTAATTGCTGATAGATTTCATTCAAGGTGCAACTTTCCAGGATGTTGCGGGGCAATAGATGGAAAACATATACGTATAAAGTGCCCTGCAAATAGTGGAAGCTATTTTTATAATTATAACGGGTACTTTAGTACAGTTCTGTTTGCTATGGTTGATAGTAATTATGAATTCTTATACATCGATGTCGGTTCCAACGGAAGAATGAATGTGGCTAGCATTTTCGGGGCGTCACGTTTGAAAACCGCAGTGGAAAGTAATACATTGCGTTTTCCAGATTGGGGAGTTCTTGTCGGAGATGACGCGGTCCCTCTGAAAACCTACTTAATGAAGCCGTATTCAAGGAATGGAATGACCCAAAAAGAAAAAATATTTAACTATCGTCTTGCGAGAGCTCGACGAATATCCGAGAATGCTTTTGGGATTCTTGTATCTAGATTTAGAATATTTTTACGTGGTATAGAAGTATCCCCGGATAAGGTAGATTATATAGTAAGAACAACATGTGCTTTACATAACTGGTTACGAAGAACATCAGCAAATACTTACATACCACCAGGAACAACCGATTACGAAGATATTGATACTGGTAATATAATACCTGGATCATGGAGGAAAGACGTAGCAAATAATCAAGTGCTTCAGCCTGGTCATTCTTGGACTTCCCACAATTATTCTAAAGGAGCAGCTACCCGACGAGACAACTATGCGGAATATTTTATGAATGATGGGGCTGTTGACTGGCAATGAAATATGATTTAAGAAACAGTGTAAAATTATTGTGATTCGTGATGTAACATTTCCGACAGGACAAAGTTGTACATAAAAATAATAATCTTGAAATAATAAAGCTATTCAATGAGGTAATCAAAAGTTTATTGAATTAGTGTTCATACATATTTTGAAACCATAATTATGTATTACTTAGTACTTACAATAAATGTCTAATATGCAGAGGAAAATGTTAGTCAAAGATTCGTTATATATTGAAATTGTTAGAACTCTGCCTTTTCAAACAAATCGCCAATTGCTGCCGACAAAATATCAGTATTTTGAACTTCGCTATTTTCTTCCAAATCATTATAATCTGATTGTTGTGGTGAATTGTAACACCTTAGTGAGCTGTTGCTGTAGCCATCTTGTTGAATTTGTTCTGCATTTATCGGCGATTGTAAAGCCCTATCAACTGGACTAAAACAGGTGGAATGTGAAGACCCTTTCATACTCGAGTCGCTCTCTCATTAATATTTGCTGGAATTCTGTCTGTCACTTTACAGTTCGTTGAATAGACAAATTTCTTAATTGGTGGGCTATATTCATGCCAAAATAGTCAAATTCATCTTTTTCCCGTACACCCTTTTTGAGATCCTCCAGTTTTTCCATTGCGCTTAAAATATTAACATCTTTTTGTTTCTTCCTTTGAACACTTGGTATGCTTCTTCCCTCACTACTGGATTTTGCTGGTACGAATGTTTTTGATGAAATTCCCTCAAGTTCGTCACCATCTATATCTTCGGAAGACTCAACTGAGGTCATTTGTGATTTATCCTGTAAGAAAGTATTATTAGGTATATTAATTTACTATAAAGAATAAAAAATCAAATGAGTATTTGTTTTGAAAAGTATGTAATTGGTCATTACCCAAATAATTTCCTGAAATCCTTACCAGACTACTAGAAGGTTCTCTACCAGTGCAGTACTCAAGGAATGTAGCGGCTTCATTAAACCAAACAAGTCTTAGCGTGTATGTATAAGTCATCTGGTGATGCCCCAGATTTGTTATACTTTGTTATTTTATTTTTCTCCAACTGATACGTATCTCTGATCGCTTTTATTTTCTTCTTTATCATATCCAGGGTCAAGTTTTTTCATGTTCATTTCCTGCTGTATGTATTCAAATGCTTTGTTTCGCTTTTCTCTGTTTTTATAATTTGCATCGTGAACATTCCACAGTATTTCACATTCTTTATATAAACTCACAAATTTTAACGTTTCATTTTCACTCCATTTGTGCATAGGCGCCATTTTTATTTCTTTAACTGGTACACAAAAGTACAAATGATTTTAACTTTGCTAGGGCTAGTAAAATAAGCACGAGACTGGCGCTAGCCAGTGTTTACATTGTACTTGTCGACTGGCATGGAGCAACTGGTACCAGTCAATAAGCATAACGTGAACGCCCCTTAAACGCTTTATGCTAGTATTTCACTTGATGACCATGATCGATCCACTTCACAGCTTCGATATGAAGCTCCTTGCAAAAATCACAACTAAAACTGCGGAGTTCGAAGCTTGACACCGGCACTGAGTCTGTTGCATACTCCTCATCATTCACGAATAAACTGTCAAGTCCTGCCGAACCCGCGATTCAAATGAACAGTTTCACTTTTTTATTAAAATGTCTAATTGTTTTAAAAGTAACTTTTTACATAACTAAATTACCTAACCAGGTTTCAAGCAGATTGATCAAATATTATTTTCAAGTAAATTGGTTCCAGAAAATTGACTTCAATTGAACCCAATAATTTTGTTACTTGGAATAACTAAAAAAATGTATTAAGGTTAATGAAAATTGTTCAGCGCAACTGTTTGATTGGCGAAGTTTTCTCAGTGTACTACTTATACAAGGTACTGCTTCTAAGAACTCCTAGACTCAAAATTAAATCTCAGCTTACTTTAGCTGGATGAAAATTTTGGTTGGCCCATTTTAGTATCCATCAAAAATTTGGTTTGTCTCCTATATTCTGCATTTTTAAAAGTTGTTGTTAGACATAAAATTCTGACAACAATCCTTAGATAGAGACTGAGCCCTCAATGAAACAAGAAATGGATTTTAATAGATCAAAATTACCTCACAACTGTCCAAGTAAAAACCCAATTTTGAGGTACATGCCCCTTCGCACCGTCGATGACTGTAATATACATACATAAAACGTCTCGGTTTCTGTTCAACTGCTATTCGAAATCCAAAGAAACCTTTACCATTTTCGGCAACTGTCTGGAATACTAGGATTGTATGGTTTCACAAAAAAGTACGAATTTAATATGAAATGTCAACAACTGTCAAACTGGCGATCTAAGCCTTATCTACTTGTAGTATGAACTTACATCCTGACTAGTGAATACGTAATTTTGATTGAAAGCACATCCTATACTCTTTCTACCTAGCCCAAAGGTTGCATTGACTTGATCTTTCTATTAGATTGTACAGAATTCAATCGATTTTCAAGAGAACGAGAACATTTTCACACGAAAGTTCATCTTATGTGTATAATCTACTCATGTCAGATCCGGAAATGGGAGCTATACTATGACAAAATTTACAGTTCTTAATTTGTCACGTAAAGCAATGCGAGCGGATATATTTCACTCCTGATGTTTTGAATTGTTGCCCAATTTTATTTGGCCTGTGTTTCTGAAAAACGGCCTGCCACATACGAGATTACCTTACACATTCATATTCATTTAGCGGATGTCACGCTGAAGCTCTGATAGGCTGAAGCTGTTAATTTTTCACGATTTTAACAAATTTCGATCGCTCTCCTCCAACACGCTAGAATAAAATGATGGACATGGTGAGTAAAGGGTACATACACATTCGAGGAGAAGCGACGCGAAAGGAACCGCGGCGACATTTATCACTTATAGGTGTCAAACCTAACAGGTAGCACTGTGGGCCCTGGAGGAACAAAACCCTGAGAGATAACAACATCTTTTTATTTATTTGTTAACGGTTTCCCATTGAATACAAAGAAAATTACGTTTACGGGATAACACTAGTTTTATATAAGTTATTATTAGTCTAAAAAAGAAGTAAAGATTTATGTGATATCCAACCTACTGATATTTAAAACCTAACAAACTAAAGTTAACTGGAAACATTTTCATGTGTTCTTTGATGTGCTACTCGAAATATCTACACTGAGAACCAAATATTTCTGACGGCTTGAGATCAAAGAGTATGAGAGTGAAGTATATATAGACACATAGCTTAGAAGGGGACAGAAGGCGGCTGGATAGCGAAACTCCTCAACGCGTTGCCTAGCAACGGTGAAGGTCGTGCAATTCCTTGAATTAAGATGTATATTGAAAATATGCGTTAGCTCATTCTTCACCCCCAAATGATGGATCTAATTTGAGTGTACACATTTTTTTATTGTGAATATGGTGAAGACGTTCGCTCTTCAGACGGCTTCTGTCTCTTTGTAACATGTGTTGGTACACACTTCTCGCGCTTCTCACTCGTACACGTTGAACTCAAGTCGCCAGATAAACCTCGTTGTTCATGTATATTGCAGCTTATAGCGGCATTGCCAGATCTAAGAGTTCTACTTACTGGTTCATTCATACCATAAATGGTAGAATGATGTAGAATCGTCCTGTATTGCGAGTTCTTCTTTCATTAACGATTTATTCGCAATCTGTGACACCGCACTGGGGTTATGGTTAATGGCAACCATATCACTGTATTGTAGTCCAAAATAATCCGCATCAGAGAACAGTATAAAATTCGAGAAACTACAGATAGGTGTTCAGTAGATTTAAAAATGTATCCTAATATTTTATTTGTTGCTATCTGCTCCGAAAACATCGGAGATTATATTAACTTAGCTAACGACATCCTGGAAAGCAGTTTAATCACATGAATGTGTCGCCAGTCTTCTCTACTGACGGGCGGCTTTGTATCGTAAGCTGGGAGAGAATCAACGGGCTGCTATTTTAGTGGTTTATTGGAATCAGTATAGAAAGTCATTGTCGCATTTTAATGTTAGATATATAATGAAACTGTTTCAGTGTTATTTAGAATGCTGTCTAATAGCCCATCGCGCATGCCACTCATTTTTATTATGTCAAATTGCCTTCATCGATTTTCAATAATCTGTGCATTGTAAAATGTTCCCGAAAACTTGAACTACTTGCGCAAAGCAAGTTTAGTCACTAGATTATACCGGTCGATTTACAATATCAAATCATAGTACAGGCCTTAGAGAGTAATCATTAGAAAATACAAGACTTTTTGATCAGGAGTACCATAGGTATTATGAGCCATGCTCTGTGCACCTTATGCTCAATCGTGGTGCAGATGTAATTTCCAGTCCAGATCTACCAGTAGGATTTTATTCTGAGGAGGATTTAGAAGCTAGAAATAAGAATATCAGGTATTTCAAGTACGGTTTTAACATTATCTCTGTTGTTTTCCTTCAACATCCTTACAATTATTGTTGTTGATCGCCTTTTCGTATTTAACAAGCTTCAGAAAGTCGTGAGTATTTTTTCAGGGAGATAGAAACAGTGAATCTCAGAGGTACTTAAACAAGTTAAAATTTATTTACAGAGAGCACAGAGCTCGTAAAATATATCGAGTTGCCACCAAGGTGGACTTGTTTTTTAGATTCATTCTCACTGTGGATAATTCTATTTCATCATGCTCATTTTGTATTCAGGTAATTACATTATTATAAAATAATTTCAATTTAATAACTATTCTATAAGTTGAGCAGATCCACAAATTTTCTCACTGGATTCCATTGCTTAGTAGTTTTTCAGGCGCAGTACTATGCACAAATATTGTAGCTTCTGTTCAGATCTTGAAAGTGAAGATTTTCCAAGGCAAATACAGCTCAATTTCTTTAACTTTCCCAAAATGAAAAACATGTGAATGGGCATCTTTGTTCAATATCTCATATATGGGGATGGGGATTCTTTGCCAGGTTTCGTACCTCCTTGGCTCACCGTGCGTCGCTTACCTTCCCGCCGCTTATGTGTGGGGACTGCCATTTGATTGTGCTTAATGTTGTGTAACCTCTTACTTCAACAGTCTGTTTGGAACAGTATTCTTGATACTTTTCTCCCGATTGTTTCATGGCGACTGAAAATCAATATTATCGATTTTTTTGTCAAAAAACGTACTGCTGTACATTTTTATACCTTCCAACAATCGTAAATTGTGAACCCATAATAGTATAACTATGAAACTGTTTGAGAATGTCCACTGGGCACCGCGGCACTTTTTCGTAAAATGGATAGCGTGCGTCTTTGAAAGTTAATTTTGATTAGCCACAGTTTCGTCCACTCCTACACATCGTTCACCGCCTTCTGCAGCCCATCATGGACTATGTCATAAGAACATGACTTTGCTACTTATGCGGTGTCGTAGACATAGAGGTAGACACAGTCGCTGGAATGAAAATAGAGTACAAGAATAGTTCTAAGACCGCTCCCTGTGCAACTCCGGCCCGAATGCGCCGCGTTGTACGTTAGAGAGTATGAAGAATATATCGTACAAACAACCGGTAGATCACATTTTTCTCGCTTAAAGTTATTTACAAAAATCATAGACAAATAAACGGTTCCTACAAGGAATGTAGGGATACGAAAGTCAAACGTACCGCTTGTACTCCAACGTCCTTTTGCGGCATCTAGCGGTCTTGACACTCACTCTTCTAAGAGGGTTCCGTGCTTCCTTGTTATACATATTGACAAGTTGATACTTCATTACTTCAAACGTGCTTCGAGTTTCAAAAATTTCTAATTTCTATCTCTTCGATGGTACGCGACAAGTAAGTAGTTGAATTGAAATAATCTACCAGCGTATATAATTTATTCATTATAAATAAATGATTTCCAGGATGGTTCAGATAAATGAATGTTGCTTCCTCAAAGGATACAATAGTCGAAATTTTATAGTACCAAAACCAAGATCTTCATACAATATAATCCATTAACGGGTAGCGGCGACAGGCAATCAGAAACTGAAAATTTTGGTAACTGAATTGCAAAAGATAAGGCTTGTAAAATATATTTTTTTTAAGTTGAGGTAGAATTGCGAGAAGTGAACACGCATATATATATATATATATATATATTTCAATTATGTGCGGTACAGCTGAATTTGCACAACTAAGCGCCATATTTTGATTTTAATAGCTTCTCCTGTCCTTCATACAAGCAGGGGTATTTCTAGATCTTGTCAGCCCTTAATTTTTTTTGAATTCTAAGAAATTAAGATGCAAAAGGAAAACATAACCTCACAATAGGAGAACGCTGACGCTGATACGGGGCAGTAGAAACCTAAAAATACCCTTACATTCCTGAAGTAGAGAAAAGACTATGAAAGCCAAGGAGGCCATAAAGATATCCTACAATGGTTATTGTAGGAACGACGGCTGTAAGCCTCATTAGCTTGAATTCGTATCTGTAACCGTTTCCGAGATCCCAGTGGTAAGAGTCGAATTTGAAACGCCCGATATATGTTACGGTTTTGAATTAATATTCCTTTCAGCTTTACTCTGATATCTATTTTTTGGGCTTGAAAGACTAACCAAACATCATTTTAAATCCTTTTGACGTCACTTTTTTAATCGACCCGATATTCCTACAGACATTAAAAGATGATTAGAGGGCGATGAAGATTAAAATCTAATCACAGCATCATTCCAAGGTGGGTTAAATAATTTTCTGTGTTCGCAGCATCGGAGCACTGCGAACTTTTAATTGTAATAAATTATGCTTCACTCTTCCTGCCTTTCCATGGAAATTAATTACCATCAAATGATCCTTTAATGTGGATATAAATTTAATAAACCGCCGCCGTCGCTCTTCTATTTTAATTACAAATATATCAAAGGCAGTGAGTTTAATAAGTGTAAATAGCTCATCTCTCCCGATCGTAGAGGTAATGTCTGCAGCCTATTTTGAAGCCAGTCACGATTTCGAACAATGAACTTTAAATGTCACTTTGCTCACAAAATCACAAAAAAAGAGCTGTGGGGTATAGCAAAACAATGCCAAACGAAAACAGCAAAAAATTCCGCAGCCATCAAGAAAAGTGCAAAATTAATGTGGTAAAAGCACAGAGCACTACCAGAGGCGAGATCCAGTCAAAATTCAGGTTCCATCAACCCTAACTTGTGTAAAGGCCGTCTGTTACGATAAAAAACTTTTGTCCTTAATTCGGTTCCAAATTTTGTGAGAAAATGCGCTTCTGGATATAGTTCCCAATTTGTTTACCAATTACAATGCTGTCTGTCACGTAAAGAAATTTGTAATAAATTTCGAACGAAAATTGAGCACGTTTGAATATTGCATTTCTTTTCCCGAAACTAATGCAAAACGAAAAACCTATACTTTAGACTACGTCCACGGGTAGGGAGCCGCCAGCTTAGTCTAGTATTCAATATAAAAATTTCTCAAAAGGCTATGTTGCCTAAATGCATGTGGACAAATAATGAATCTCTTGATTCTATAGTTTTACGTCTGATATTCGTGAAGTCAGAGTAATAAATCGTAACCATCACTAAGAAAAATTCTTCCGGACGTTTAAGAATTCAGATGAAGAACGCGCCAAACACTGGAGTTCACGGAGATAAAAAGGACCGCCAGTAGCTGTCGCATTTTATATTGTTACCCTGAAAATAACTTCGTACTGAATCCACAAACCTCTGTAGATCGTTCTTCCACGCCTCATAGCAGTACTGGAACTCCGATCCGTCCAGCGACTTCAAACTTGTACTGAAAGAGGATCTCATGTTCCCATTTCCCCCCCCAATCCTGACGCCTCCAGTGTTGCCAGATCGAGCGCTACGCTGCCAGTCTCATCACTTAATTTACAGACTTCGTATCTTCTGCCAAACTCTGCCGTGCTAAATATGGCAGTTCTAATACTATATACACAGAGTACTTAATGGAATGATAATAAGTCCCCCTTCCAGCATGTGGAAAAGATAATATGATATATTCCTTGGTGGCCTCTTTCAACCAGACTCCCTACTTTCGCTCAGTACCCAGAGCGTTAAACTCTTGTCTGAGAGTGCTATTAAGCTTGCACTATGGAAATTAAAGCTCGTTCTCTTGAAAATGGATGCAAGTCAACTTCATTTATCGAAAGAGCTAGCCTTCATGTGACACCTGTCAAATTTTCGCGAAAATCGCACCATAAACAGCAAAGATACTGAGGTGAAAGTGAGGTTACTTTAGCATTTGTTTCCAAAATGGACAAAACGAATTGCATGTGTTGATAAAACATTGCTATTTAATGGGAAAGAATACCGTGCAAACTCAGCTATGGCTTGAAAAATGTTATCCGAACTCTGCTCCGTCGAAAACAACCATTTGCCGGTGGTATGCTGGTTTTAAACGCGGTGGCACATGATACAAAGGATGCGGAACGCTCCGGAAGGCCAAATGAAGCAGTAACTTTGGAAAATGTTAAGCAGGTTTTAAAAATCGTGATAAATGACCTCAAACTGTAAGTTCATGAGATTACTGAGTACACATATCAACCGTGTAGTGCATTTACCATCTTACACGAAAAGTCTTTTCGAAATGGGTGCCGCGTTTTCTCACAATGGAACAAAAGCAACTTTGAGTTGAGAACTCAGGGAGCTGTTTGTCACTGTTCACCCGCAATAAACAGGATTTCTTGCGTCGGTATATGACAGTAGATGAAACATGGATCCACCATTTTACTCCGGAATCAAATCGGCAGTTAGCTGGTGAAAGCCGTCCGAAGCGTCCAATAACGCAGCGCAGCAGTCAGCTGGCAAAGTCGTGGCGTCAGTTTGTTGGGACGCACAAGGTATAATTTACATAGACTAGGTAGATTGAAAACTGAAAAAGTATCAACAGCGATTATTACATCGACTTACTGATACGTTTAAGTGACGAAATCGCAAAAAACGACCGCACATGAAGAAGAAAACAATCATCTTTCATCAGGACAACGCACCGTGTCACAAGTCAATAAAAAATGGCCAAATTGAACAAGTTCGGCTTAACCCCAGGTTAGTCACGTCTCTTATCCGCACATTATTAGTCGCGTGGGTGACAAGTGTCAACCATCCTAAAAAACAACCTTACAAGATTTTTCCAAAAATATTTATTAAATAAGAAACAAGATATTCTCTATAAGCCTTGACATAAAATGTAGGTTGATTTTAACAACAAAATATATTTAAAACATAAGATAACTGTGAATTACTACTTCAGTCGTTGTTTTCATAACATCGCATACAAATTTCTTTTAGGTGGTCATTGCAAGCAAAATTTTGACACTGCGCGCAAAGTTTTCTAATTGTTTTATCTCGTGCTCTTCCGCAGTAGTAACAGCGCCCTCTTGCTCCTCTTCGATCTCTTTGTTCAACTACAGAAGTTGAGGGTTCCAAACCCAGCAATACCATTGACCTGCGGCGAAGTTCCCGTGGAATTTGTGAAATGTAAGCTCTTCGTTTTATTTGTGGTGTCAACATATCCCATGCTAAGCTTTGCAAGAATTCAGTTCGGCGTAATTTTCCCTCGATTTGTTTGTTGAGCTTATAAATTATCATAGCATTTACAGCGGAAACATTTAATAAATTATAAAATACAACCATAGGCCAACGTCTCGTATTTCTTGCTACATTATTTTTTCGGCATATTTGGTCTACTAAATCTACTCCAATCTTGGTACTGTTGTAAAATGTTATAATATCCGGCTTTTGATATTCTCCTGTGTCTTCACTGATTGCACTATCGTGATGCATGGTAGAAACTGCAGGAACTGCTTTATTCTTTTGTGGACAGTAAGAAACAATTGTACAGTTTTCCTGGAATCCAAAAATTGAAGTAAATTTATCCCGGTCTTTTTGGGGAAGAAACTCCTTAGGAATTTCTCTTTTATTTTTTCTGAGAGTACCTACGTATGATAATTTCTTTTCAGTCAGCAGTTCATTGACTAATGGAATACTAGTGAACCAGTTATCTCCTGTGATGTTTCTATTTGTACCCTGAACTGGTTCCACCATCCTCATCACAATATCTTTGGCATTGTTACTTTGCTGATATGGACCTGGAGGTTGCAATCTAACATACGTTTCCAGTTTCATAGTATAAGCTGTTTTAGCATCAACCAAAGCAAATGTTTTAATGCCATATTTACTTGGCTTATTGGGGATGTACTGGCGGAAAGCTGCACGACCTCTAAATGCAAGCAATTGCTCGTCTATAGTTAGATATTCACTCGGTGAGAAATATTTCTCACAATTATTGGTGAATAGTTCAAACACTTCCCTAATTGCTGCCATTTTATCAAGTTCTTTACGCATGTTACGGTCATTGATATTGTCAAATCTCAAACATCTCAAAAGGAAACGGAACCTTTGTTCACTCATAGTAAGATAACATGATTCAATGCCATTTCCCTTGGAGTTATCCCATAGTAAATGAATATTTTTACGAGAACATCTCATGGTGCCTATAAGGAACAACAATCCAATAAATGCCCTTATTTCTATCTCATCAGTACTCCTTGCATCTCTGTCCCTTGTAAATTCTTGACGTGTTTTCTCTATATAAATATTAGTGCACGCTGTAATTGTTTTGAGAATATTGTCGTCTAAAAAGAGTTCTAAAGCTGCTACTTCTGTTTTCACTTCTCGTGCTTTACCTTTGGGTCCTGGTAAATGAATAGTAATGTTATGGGACCTTGTTTTCACATTTCTTGGAGGATTCGCTATTCTCCATTTCGTTATTTTGTCCTTCCCAATGTAGAAACTAGAAGAATCTAAAGACACGTCTTCGTCACTTTCAACTTCTTCACTTTCCGCAACCTCTTGTTCCGATTCTGTATTATGCTCACTCTCTGTCAGTATATTTTCTTCCTTTTTGTCACTTTCATCTTCATCCTTAGAGCTTTCACTCAGATCACTTTCATCACGTAGTTCATGGTACCACTTCAGCCATACATTGGGATCATTACTGGTCTCTACTTTTCTTTTTTTCTGTTCAGACATGGCCTTGCTACTACTTCCAAATACCTAAAGCAAAAATACCTTAGCATAGGGAGAAAAAATATTAAAAATTGAATTACCTTTGCCACAGTACAACAACACCTTAATAATAATTTAACAACGTAGAAGGTCGCGCGGGGGACACTTATCAACCACTCAGCTTTGGTCAGCGATATCTCCACAAAACACGCACAAGCCGTACTAAATATTTGACGGCTCCGACATCTATCATAACATGAAAGATACTCGAAGCGATGTTGCCAAGTGTGCTGAAACATTTAAATAGCGGCATATTAAATGAAAGTGGGTGACGATTGTCACCCGCGCGACTGACCTAGGGTTAAGTCTACTTCCTCATCCACCCTACTCTCCCGATCTAGCGCCCAGCGGACTACTGGCTCTTTGCTGATCTCAAAAAGATGCTCCAGGGAAAAAGGTTTGGCTCTAACGTGGAAGTTGCATGGTATCGAGAAGTTAGAAAAACGTTGGAGTAACTGCATTGCACTTGGTGGCGATTATGTTGATGAATAAAAATGAATTTTGCGAAACAAATGCTGTTTTCATGATTAGTCCCGGGATATATGGAACCATGTTTGGATTTATCTCACATTGAAATTGTTTCTCGGAATTCTGGTCAATATGCTACACTGTCAATCTTATAGGTATACAATCATTAGTTAATGACGGAGATCAAATAACGAAGGCAGACAATCCCAAAGAAGTATTGACCCGCTAGAAAACACATTTCAGCAAGCAATCTGTGACATGGGACACCGTTTGTAAATAGTGAAGGTAAATATTTCCCTTACACTTTACAAGACTATTGCAGTATAGTCCCAGCATCCAAGGGATAGCCATCCATATCTTATGCGGATGGGTCAACAGGTCTGATATAGCTTTGTGTATAACCATTAAGTTATCATATGCCACCTGGAATAAATCACAAATGATTGACATATCGACTATGTTCAATTATTTGTACCATAGTAAAAACAGATAAATTTCGAGAATAGGCTGTTTTTTAATTATACATGTCACTCATTCCGGGTCGACCTATCTGTCTGTCGGGTGGCCTGCCCACTCTTCCAAAGCCCCGCTATAACTTGGAAAGAACTGCTTAGATTTTGATGGGATTTTAAAACACGGTTACTTCAACACCTAGGACGAAAATGCTCGGTAGTTTTTGGTAATCGATCGAGTTTTAGCAAAGATGAAGAAAACGGAAAAATGCTCAAGCTTCGTTTTTTGATGTTTCATTATAAATGTTCAAAATTGTTAGCTACGGGTTGTAGGAGTAGATTAAATATTGTATAATAATAATAAATGCCTTTATTTCCAAACAGTTTTCAAAAAAAAAATCAGAAAGAGAAACAGGAGTATTAACCAAAAAAGAAGGAAAATATAAAAAAAAATAAATAAAACAAATGTCGACTGTCTGAAAACCACAAGGGGGAGTTCACTATCTAGTGCTCTTCCACTCATTCCTTGGAATTGTAAGAAACATTATGCCAGTAAATACATCCATCAACCATATAAAAACATCAATATGAACAGCATGTAAGTTTTTAAAAAAAAATAAGATAGAAAAGTGAGACATGTGGTAATAGATTTAAAAAAAAAGAAAGTCTAGAATAATATATACATACATATATATATACATATACATATATATACATATATATACATATATACATATATATACATATATACATATATATACATATATACATATATACCCATACATACCGCATAAACAAACGCCAATATGAGCGACAATTAAGTTTGAAGAAAAGAGCAAAGAGAAAACGTGGTGGTAAATGTAAAAGTCTAGAATGATATACAAATACATATACGTACATTTATGCATCATATGAAAAAAAAAATATAAATAAAATAATGGAATGCAAACAAAATAAAATTGAAATTCCGCAGTAAGAATAATTCTACTTTATACATTCAAGGTAAGAATCACGCAAAACCGCTTTGAACTTGTGAATTTCATATGATTTGAGGTACTGGGGGATAGGATTGTATAGCTTATATATATATATATATATTATACGTAAATGATCTTTCATAAAATTTAGTTCTGTGGAATGGAGCGGTAATGTTTTGTATCGAACGAATATTTACGGAATGGATGTCTTTTCTGAATGTTATTTTCTCGTAGAGGTAATGCGGCTGCCTGAGAGTTAAAATTTTATGATAAAAGCATATTGTGAATATCTCAAAACGAGCCTTCATATTTAGCCACCGGAGTTCTTTCAGCTTATGACTAACTCTTTCAAATTTTCTTATGCCATATATAAAACGTATGCATGAGTTCTGTGTTCTCTGTATTCGCATGAATGTATCACAATCTAAACATGCAGAATAAATTGGAACACAGTACGAAAACTGTGATAAAACCAAGGTTTCGCAAAGAATTCTTTTGATGTCTAAATTGAGAAAATTTCGGTGAGGATATAATAATTTTAGAGCCAGATAAGATTTTTTGATACAGTTTGATATGTGCTCACGAAACCTCAGATTATAATCCATTGTTAAGCCTAAGTTTTTAACTTTATCACAGTATTTTAATCTAATATTATTTATGGTTATATTTAAATTCTCAATCACATAAGAACGGTCTTTACCAAAGATCACAGCAGCTGATTTATTTGGATTTAATATTAATGAATGCTCTTGCAATCTTTTAGAGAGGTTAGTCAAGTCACTGTTTATTTTTAACTCGGCAGCTGGCCAATCTGAACTAGGAAAAGAATAGTACAGCTGGGTATCATCCGCATAAATGTGTGACTTACAGAATTCCAAATATTTAAGGATCTGACTGGTATATATAGTGAAGAGCAATGGTCCACGTATAGATCCTTGCGGTACACCTGTGGTAGTGGGCTTTGAACTAGATATTTCATTCTTCAGTTGTACACACTTAAGTATGAATTAAAAAGTTTTACGCTGTCAGTAGACAATCCACATGACTTTAAGATAGACAGCAAAACATCATGGTTAATTGTGTCGAATGCCTTGCTGAAATCTAATAGTATTAAAGCGGTAGACTCACCCAGATCATTCGACTGAATGATATCATCAGTTATTTTAGCAAGTGCAGTGGTGCAACAGTATCCTGGACGAAAACCTGACTGTGTTTTAGGAAGGATACTTTGACTTTCAATATGTGTTCTTAATTGTATTTCAATAATTTTTTCAACCAATTTCGAGAGACCAGCTAGAATATTTATTGGACGAAGATCTGATAGCTGTTCAGCTTCCTTACATTTTGGAATTGGCACTATTAAGGCCACTTTCCAGCACTTTGGATATTTTCCCTCCAAAAAAATTGTATTAATAAGATGTACCAAATATGGTAAAATATACGGGACACACAATTTGACGAGATGTATGCTAATGCCATCATTTCCTGGTCTGGTGTTTTTTATCCTACTTAATGCGTCAGATACATCTTGCTCAGCTACCACTTTGAAATTGAACTCTGAATTACATATTTTGTTTTGATCATAATATATAGCAATATGATTACCAGACGCCACACGAGGTATGCTGTCAATAAAAAAGTTATTTATATATTCCACATCTTGCAAATCAATAGGAATATTTGACTTCTGTGACTTAATACTAAGCGAATTAAGTTCTCGCCACAAAGATTTCTTATCCTTACTCTGAGCAATTTTATCAAAATACTTTCTTTTTTCATGTAGAATAGCATGATTGGTTTTGTTTTTTAGTTTTTTATATGCATTCCAATTTGAATCGTTCGGATTTTTTCTACACTTTGACCTCGCTGCATCCCTACTACACATCAAATTCCTTATATCATCCTTCAGCCAGGGAGCTTTAGGCTTAGTGATTTTGGACGTTTTCAAAGGAATGTGCTTGTCAAACAAAGTTAGAATTAAATGATTGAACAGGTTCACCTTTTCGTCAATATTTGACAAGTAACATATGTCAATTAAGGGAAGATTTTGCAAATCAGCATGCAATTTATCCATTTCAAGACTCCTAAAGCTCCGATAAGTGTAAAAGAGTGGTTCAATTTTTTGTCTATCTTGTAGTACCTTACACGAAATCAGTTCATGATCTGTTAAATCTAATCCGTCAACGTGCTTAGATTCGATCATTAAAGGATCGTTGCAAAGAATAACATCTATTAATGTCGCCGATGTATTAGTAATATGAGTAGCTTCTTCTACTATTTGCTCTATACCTGTAGAATCTAACATTTCAAGCATATAATTTGTAGGTGCAGCCTCAGTGTCGAGGAAATTTATATTTACGTCTCCTAGGTATATCACTTTGTCCTCACGGAGCATAGCCACACATAAAGATTCTTCAAGTTCATCGATAAAATATTTATAATTGAAATGTGGTGGTCGATATACTACTCCAACTGCGTATGATTTACCTTTAAGTGAAACTGAGACCCAAAGTTGTTCAATATTATGTGAAACTTCAATTTGTGAATATTTCAACTTACTATCTATATACAAACCTACTCCTCCACCCCTGGTACTTCTGTCAAACCTAACAAGATCATAACCTTGAATATATACTGTATCATCGCTTATACTGTCATTCAACCACGTTTCTGATAATGCAAACATAGCATATTTCTTAGAAAGTATATGTTGCCGCAAACTATTAAATTTAGGAACAAGTGAACAGACATTGAGGTGTCCAATCAAAAAATCCATCGCTAAATACAATCAACTGTATATCTATATTCAGAGCTAAAAAAAAAAAAAATAGCAAAAAACAAAATATATGTAATGAATCTTAACAATACACACAAGTTCAAAGAATACCAAACGTTGAAAAAAAAATACCCCAATACAACATAGCTATTCATTCACACTAAACTTCTCCACTACCTTGTCAGTTTTTACAAAAATGTTGCCATTAACCGTCCACACGTTCTTGAAACCAAACTTATCAGAAGCTGCTTTAACTACTTTCAACCGATGCGGAGTTAGATCTTCCTTAATAACTATCTTAGTGCCTTTAAGAAACTTTTTCTTATTATACGTTGCCATCTTAATCGAATTGTCAGTAAACGATACCAAAACATGCCTAGGTTTTGTATCGCTACGGCGACCAACCCTATAGACAGCAGTTATCTCCGATTTGTTAATATTCACTTTCATTTTATTACCAGTAGATTCATTGAAATTTGTTTTTAAATTTACTATTTCTGCTTCTAACTGTGCAATTTTTTCATCGTAATATTTAAATTTATCGTTCAATGCAGAGGTAACTGTTTCAAGAATGATATTGGAAATAGTTTCTGCAACATTCTTCCTTTTTAGTGTATCTATTAAAGTCTGCTCAAAATCTGCCCGACTTTGTCTTGTAGGCATATTGCACTTTTATAGAATTATATTCGATTCTGTCAATTGCAGCTAGATTTTAACAGATTTGAATCGGACAGTGGTAAAAACTCACAGTTTTTGTTGTATTTCTCGGAGCACCTACACACACGTCTGCTCCATACCTGTGTTGTCTGACTACTCTATATCTTTGTTATCGGTGGAAGATTTTATTATTAAGAAATGTTTGATCCCGGTAGTATTATCTACCTGTTAGACATAATACCATACATATTTTCCTTTACACGCCTGCGACTAGTGACACCGACATTCTCCAACTCGACATCAAGAAACCTGCTGTGTGTCCGATTCGAATAAGCTACCGTAAGTCGCAGCACTATCGAGGCTTTTCATAGCTGTTGAATAGTGAAATTTGTGGAAATTGTTCAGATATCATATACCATGTATACTCGATTACTTCAACAACAGTTTTGAATTACCAATATTTCTTCTTCAATCGTATTCTGTTGTAAGGGCTTATATCCCTCTACTAGTAAAGATACCAGAATGTACGAAAGTTGACTTAGATCGTGTTTATGATGTTCCTAATTGAATAGGAAAAACAGGGTAAACGTACTTAGCACCATTTTTAATTACCACGCCTACATACGTATCATGCTACATTTTGTAGCCCATAACGTTTCAAATATCTCCGAGACTATCACCGACATGAGTGCCGCAGCGTAGAGGGGGCGGCGTTTGTCCCCTGGAAGTTAAAAGCCGATCTAATGGAAGTGACTCCCCGCGGGTATGCGTCGCCGTTCCTTCGGTACATTCTCTAACTTCGATCCAGAAAGTTTCTTTCTCCTATCTCCTTCGTCTCCCTAGGAACACCCTTCGGCAATACATGAAGCTCCGAGTTCGAAAAATGGTTAATTCGACTTACCCAGATCTAAAGACCTTCGCTACATTCACAAATATCATGCGCAGCTATTGTTTTTTATGCCTTCTTACCCAAAAATGTTTCTTGGGCCTGCTTTAGGCTGATTTGCTGTTCATATCAGTGAAGATATTTGGTGTTTGAAATCCGGAAGTGGTATATGCTGATCAGTATTTTGATTTGTCATCTGTACATTAATCATGACCTAGTTTAGTGAAAAATTCTTACCATATTTTGAATTGCCTCTATATTGATATTGTGACGAATTCGAATTGACAGGGAATATTCTTTGTAGTATATTTTGAATAGGAAAATAAGCATTTTCGAAAGCTCGACCTAAACAGAGAACTCTGACTTTCTTTCAGGACTAAGCTCCTTTCACGCAGCTGGATACTTGAGAACTGTTTGTTTTTCATCTGCAAATACCATGAAAATGGGCTACTCTGATAAAGTGCAAGTTTCATGGACTATCGAAAAACAAGCGGACAAAACTGGAACATGAATCTTAATTTTTTGTGGACTTTGCACATATTGAGCCTGAAAATAGTGATAATATTGCAGTGATTTTTAGTAATGGTATTTAAGTTATATCCTTTAAGGAGTACAGCTATCGTAAAGGCGAAATGTAACTCTTATATATCTACATTAAATGTGTATCTGACATGTCTATGGAAAATAATACAAAGTTTGTTGACCTCTTTAACAATGATGATTTAAGAGTGTCTATGCGAAAATATAATGACTAACAATAATGACTTCAACTGGAAGACGACTTTCCGCCTATTTATTAGCGTATTTCTCATTGTTCTCATTGTTATCAGACTCTTTGAATGTTGCTACTATGGGACTGATCGTTGCGATTTGTTAATAAAAAAAGACAGTTGAAATTTAGAACCTTGGGACACTCCATGAAAAATAAAATCCATATTATGTATTGATATTATTCAACGATAAGAATGCCTTTATAAGCTCATCGATTTGAGTTGAGGCAAATCTCACTAGCTTAAGTGAGATACTTGAGTGTGCTGACGCTGCCAAGGGGAGCAAATGATAAAGGTCACTCAAACTGAGAATAAAAAGTAGAAACTACGTTAAACCCTAATATGTCAGACCTTTAAACAAGTACTTTAAAAAGCAAGAAAGTCAGATAAGAAACAATTTATTTGAAAACAGTCCGATGAAAAAGGATGCAAGACTTACATCGACAAATCTAATAATTTGACCCCAAGGTATAGATTTCTGCGACATCCAGAGGAAATTCGATATTGAAGTGAATTGTCCATATACAGATTATTAAGAACCTAGACAATTTTTCCTCGACGACTAAAAAAGAACACGATACAGAGCGATGTCTAATACAATTAACTACCGACAGTCAAGCATTTCATCCTTTTTGTGTCTGTTTGCTATCCTTGAGTTGGTCATTATCAATATTGTCCAGTTTCGGAAATACCTAACTTGTACAAAAGGGTAACTAAGAAAACATTGTGTTATACCTCCAAAACAGTGCTCAGTTGGTAGATATGAGACCTCAGCGTGAGGTTCTTGGTACTTTGGCTTTTGGATTCAAAGCGGTTGCGGTTTGGGCGCCCCCTAGTGTCAAAACTAGTAAATGGAATAAAAAGTAACAACTGTTGGGTCTCTGAAGCTGAGGAGACACAAACTCACAAGGCGCACAGACATTTATTGAACAGAAATAACAAAATTTAAAGAGAAGCCTGGAGGACAGGCTAAAGAAAATAAATCAGTATTGAACCGAGAGCAGGAAGTCCCAGATGTAACCTGAATGTAGAACCCAAAGGCAGAACCCAAAGGTAGAACCCTCGAACAATGAGGCTCGATGGTTGAGTGTCCACGGCTAAGTCCACAAGAGGGTGGAGAAAAAAGCACCGACAAAAAAAAACACCAAGAGGTGCCGATTTCTAATAAAAAACCCTACCACCCTATAAATTCGCAATCCTGCGTGTGAAACTATTTCACAAAATCGGGTGGTGGGCATTGAATTTCTACACCAGAGCACTGAAAAGTAGCACTAAGTCACCTTCAACTCTCGTATTTACGGTCGACAGAAATGATAAGGACTGACCTCCATCGAGATGACGAGTACGATTTTTTACCACAAAATTATTAGACCAGAAAAAGTGTTTTATTACTAAAAATAAAATTCGATATTTTTTAAAATGGCTATAAGATTATTATTCTAAATAGGAAAAGCTTTGTAATAATTTATTTTATCAAGACGTAGATGATTTTTAGTCGACCATAAAAAGAAACTGTAACAATTGTGCTGTTTATTAATCCTCATCAGCTTCGATAATGCAAAAACATTATTTCGCTGCCCTACCGATAGAACCGTACATCTGGCAATGTTGCCTGCCCCGTACGATGCGGCAAAGCGCCACAGTGGCAGTTATGCCAGAACACTATCAATACTCTACAGCAACTGGATTGATTTTAAAAAATTTCATCCAACTCCGAGCGGTACTTTCCAAGTTATAGACAAACTAACAGACAGACAAACACACCGACGAAAATGAGTGACAATGGGTTTTCGTGATGTACACATCCGATAAGATCCAAAAAACATAGTACCTCATTTTATTAGCGATTATAGTACTTCGCCAGTTGGTGTGCAAAGTAAAGAGCATGGCGACGAGGTTTTACTTTTATTTGTACGTTTCTATTCAGGTATATTTGTATGTATGAAAACTGCGTTTACAATACTCGTATTAACCTCTGCCTAGTTTAAACATCGTGTCGCGTTCGGTATCTCACATAAAATTTGTAATTTATGCTACACTATACTGAAAGATCTAACTGTTGTAACCACCGCATGCGTGACTGTTAGCTGCCATACGTGTTAAAACAATATTACAGCACGCCCTAACATGCGATCATTAATTGTCCACGTTGAACAGCAGTCGAGACTGAGTTAATTGCCCTACAACAAAACGCCTGATTCGAACAACTCTTTGTTCCCACATTTACTCCCCATACTCTCGGCCAAGAAAATTAGGATGTAATAATAGCTTATATATAATTGTACACTTATTATATATAGTTTATTGAATTTGCTGGCCTAGCAATCTACAAAGACCCAAAGTTGTTTATTTTTTATTATCAAGGTGAATTCCAATTATTAAGTTATATCCTATTACTAAGCGTTTCGGTACATTTTCAAGTCATAGAAATATACCCACCTTTGATACACAAATGTACCAAGGGTTTTATGTAAACTTTCCTAAAGACCCAGCCAAACAAGAAAGGATACACATATTGAAGTATTGTTAAACAACCTTATTAGGGAAGGAGGCGGCCTATCTTTATCTGAGGTTTCCTTATTATATTAAATAGTCGT